CTATGTGCTCACCAGGCTCCCAAGCCTGACCCACTCAGTTTCTTGTATTACAGGTAGTGGCACTCGAGCATAGATGTGATGTTTTGGATGAGGGATTACGGATTATAGGCATGCAGATATGAATAAATGTTGTAAGGCTTATATTGTACTGTTTATGCTTTTGATCTGTATCGAACATGACATCCCGAGGTTTTTAATGAAATACATTTCTTCGGAAATGCTTTGATAAATCTTTATCATATTTTATTTTGGGAACAAATTCCGCAACACTTTTCTTTAAAATGTTACTCTAATTTTTAAACAAAGCATAACAAAATCGGTCTTTTCTGGCAGTGAAAATGGGGATGTCACAACTAAACACTCTGAATTAGAAAAGTTAAAAGTGTGCCTCTTAATTGAAAAAATTAAGAGTCTACCAAACAACCCCTAAGTGTGTATGAATGCCTATAAAGTTAATGTTGGTGTGATTAATAAAATTTGTATTTTATAGTGGAAAGGACCTTGTATACATAAGCAATATTTTTTTTCATTGATGGATAATTCTCTTGCAAAAAATAGTTACTTGAAGTTCCTTACCTTAATAGAGTTTGAATCCAACAAAACTTTCTTATTTAGCTTTAATGATACAGAACTAGACTCGAATGGAGACAAAAGCAATATTTCAATTGCTTCGTGATGGAATCTAGTGTGATCAATATTCCTACGCACCCATATAACTTCGTCGGTGTTAGGGTTTGGGAGGAGAAAAGGGTTTTCTAAAATCGATGAGAGCTTGGATCTTCTTGAAGGACCATGTGAACACGTTCCAAATCTAATATTTCGACCATATACTTAGGTTAGACAAAATCCAAATTAGACGGATAATCCTTCAATGAACAGTCTCAAATCAAGGCACTGACATGAGGCCACGAACTTAGGTTTATATTGGATTTGAATTCCTTTGATTACCAAAGCTAAGTATCAATCAACATAAAATGTTGATTTTATTACAGAAATAAGGGATGACGGTTTCAATGATAATTATGTAGAATATATTCTAAAAATAAGTTTTTCCATAACATTTCCCTTAACAAATAAATTTCCGGGGCACTGCCCCTAGGACGTTGCAAGGAGGCACGGCCCCCCTTGACCCCCGCCATTTGGTCGAACCGAGATCAAACTCGTTTTATTCGAGCGTGAACTCTGCACCACCTAACTTTTCTAAAATCAATATTTAAACTCCATTGATAATGTGTAAATTACATTGTACTAAAATGAATCTGATAACACTAAAATCATAAAACAAACGTAAAAGTAATACGAACCGCCCAAGACTTCTAGTGATCAGTAAGAATGATTTAAACCCATCTCCTCATTTGAGCTCAAGCCTAGAATACACACAACTAACTCTTTCTCTTTCTTTCTCTCTCTCTCTCTCTCTCTCTCTCTCTCTCTCTCACTCACACACACACACATTGAAATCAAGTTTGATAAAATACAACAAAAGTTACAAAACTATAAGTTTTTCAAATCTGGATACGGTTTTAATCTGATATGTAACTTATTCTATAGGATTGGATATTTTATCCCCAAGACATGATTTTTTTTAATCCATTCCGGTTTCATCCAAAATCGGTTTGTTCACTTTATAAGAAACCAAATTGGGTTTAAAATCAATCCATGCATTTTAAAGTCGGCCAATTTCCACCTCTAATGCATGTTGCATTTAGTTTTGGTTGGAGACTAGGCCTTCCCATGATCGGACGAATACATTGATTCGTTAATATTTCATTTGGTCTTAGACAGGCGTGAAAGTGAAGAAGAACGAGACATGTGATAACCTAACAAACGTGTTAACAAAATCATACATGGAAAGCAAGTTTGGACATTATTTGTAATGGTGAGCATGGGTCAGTTTTGACCTAAAACCGAACCCAAAAACGACAACCTCGGTTTTCAAACTCTTAAAAGCGAACCCAACCACAACCCATCGGTTCGGTGTTTCGATTTTAAACCCAAACCTCAAGTGAATTCTTAACTCGCCTCAATTCATCATATATAAAGCTGAAGTTGATGTATATTTTGATCATTGAATTGATGTGTGACTCGAAGACTTTAAGCAAATAAAACATAAAGATAGATGATTTATTAGCAGGTGAGAATCGTTGGGTTTTATGTACGCAGCGATGTGAGACTTCAAATCTGGTAAAAAAAATAGGAAAAAAAGGTATACGTAACATGATGAAACTAGCAAGATTCGAAACTACGACCTGATGCATAAACAAACAGTGGATCAACCACCAGATCAACAACCCGCTTGTGTTTAAAAGTCACGGTATTCATATATATATAAATATTGAATTTGTTTGGAAAAATAAATCAAAATGACTGGATGTGAAACGTTTCCAAGCTAAGACCTTGAGTTGAAATAGACAGCGTGCTAACCACCTTCACCAATCGGTGCTTTTGTTGTTATTTCAAACCACATTCATTTGAAACCCCCTTTTTTAACTAATGCAACTCAAAATTTTTCTTAATAATGATTTAACACTCAAAAGTTTTATAACTTATATTATGTTTAATAAGCATTTAGTGAAAAGTTTACTATAAAAATGTCAATCTTTTGAGAAGACATGCATACAAATCATATACAAATTTCAGAAAGAAAACAAACTTAAAGGTTTTTGTGTTGGGTTGAGGTCTTATGACCACTTTTGGGGATATGCTATTATATTAGAGCTTTTAATTTGTAAGTTTGTTATACTAATTCGTTGTTTATATTTTCTCGTTTTGGATTATTGTAATACAATCGTTGTATATTGTGGTTTAATTGTTAATATATTGATCATATGTTATATAGGGTGATGTGGAAAATATTTAATTAAATATTTTAAATATGTTTTTTTTGTTTTATAATTGTATCGTTTCAAAAGATAATTAATTTAAACTCATACATATGTGATACGTCCATCTCTCTCTCTCTCTCTATATAGAATATATATATATATATATAGATATATTATATATCTATATATATATATATATATATATATATATCTTTCTCTCGCGCTCCTCTCTCTCTCTCTATATATATATATAAATATATATATATATATATATATATATATATATATATAATAGATGTCAAACACTTCAACCAAAATTAATTTAAAATATAATATTTCAAATGCTTTATAAAAATGATTGTAATAATTTCAACATGTGTTAATTAATTGATTGATTAATAAAAAATTTAATGTTTTGAAACTCCTAACTCTTAAACTTATATTATTTAATTTTTAGTTAACTAAAATATTTTTCCTACATAAAGATAACATTTTTATGTTTGGTTACTTATATTTGTTTATGTAATTAGAAAACAATGTGTACATAGAATGACTACTTCAATTTTTACATAGAAATCGATACCACTAGAGAGGTATGTTGTCTTTAACCGGTGGTATGAGATCCACATACCCTTTTAATTATTTATATTAATGTTTAGTAATATCTATTTTATATTCCTATTCACCTTAATTTTTTAGGTACAAATTAAGGAAGAGGATTCCCGGCGCACCAACATAAAGTCAAACGTACGCCTTGCAAAATATGTAATTAAAATTAAATATCATATTTACTAATCGACTTATTTTAAAACTATTGATGACATTTATTTATAATGATATATTTTGTATGACTTCATTCTTGATTTCAATGTTTAATATTTGAAAGTTCATATATGAAACCTTGGATGTTTTGGTGTAAATATAAATAGTGGTAATACAAAGTTTATTAGTTCAATATTGTTAATTAATAGCTCATTCAAAACAACTTATTTCTTATTTTATTCAAAAAAATATTATCAGATATAAGAAAAGTAGATTATATTAATGTTATACAAAAACTTATAATATATATATTGGATAGTATATAAGTAAAAGCAAAGTTTATAAGGTATGGACTATATTCGATAGTATCAAAATATAAGTTGATGAATTTTTATATTATTTGATAATTCAGTTAATGCCCAAAACATGACTAAAAACGTAAATTTCAACATATTTATATTTTTCCCATAATTATTTCAACCACTTAAATCATTCTTGCACAACGCGCGAGGTTACGCCTAGTGTGTGTGTGTGTGTGTTGTGTGTGTGTATATATATATATATATATATATATATATCGGTTTTACAAAACCCAAAAACCGAACCCAAACCAAAATTTTCGATTTTTGAAAAAACTAAACCCAAACCGTCGGTTTATGCTTTGGTTTCGGTATTTTCCGGTTTCCGGTGTCTGTTTGGCTCACCCCTAGTTGCTTGGATTTCCTAAATTTTGATAATTGAAAATAAAAGAAGATCGCTTAGTTTGAAGTCGATATAGAGATTTGCAAATATGACTTAAAACAAACTTCAGGAATCATGTATGTAAATCTGCATGTTAGGTATACCCACACACAAGGATGACAAATCGGGCAATCGTGACGTGTTTTTGTCTTACACGACAGAACACGACAAAGTTTTATGTAACACGAACACGAATGACATGATGTCGTTTTTTTTAACTAACATGAAAAGAAACCAATTAAAAAATGACAAACACGACATGACACGGCAAAGAGAGTATAAAATCACAATTAATTTATTTAATTAATACTTAATCATACATAACACAACAAACAAAATGTTAAATCGTGTCAAATTTTGAACCCAAACACACCATGACATGACACCACATGAACATCAGATGAACATGAATTCAAATTTCAGATTCATTTCAGTTTGGTTTCGTATTATGTATTTTTATCGTGTGGTTTCATAAGTGCAACCCTAAACACAACCATCCAAAACACGACCCATTGTGTTTGTGTTCATCATTTTTGCTCCGTTTAATCCATTATTATTTCTTTCGTCATTCAAACTTATTTATGAGCTAAACTTGTATGTTATCAATAAGTAGAGGGTGGATTTTGTAAATTACTCAGTTAAAAGCCTCCATTTGGCGCGGTATCAGGTTGTAAACGTGGACGCCGGACTTCCCCACAAAACGAACCCAGTTTCTCTCTTTCTTCCGCACGCAAACACAGAGACGTCGGAGCAATAATGGCGGCGCCGGTCGGAATCGCAGTGAGGACGCTGTTGAGCGTGTTGGGCTGTTTGATGGTGGCGGTGCTTATTTACACAATCGCCACCGATGGCCTCCCTTTTCGTACAGAGCTACTCACTAGGTAAATTAGAAGACATAACCATTTGTCGAAATTGATGGTAGATTTTCGTTGTTTTGTATTTCCTTTAGTATGTCATGGGAATAGCTACACTTTATGTAGCATCAGTTCATTAGTTGAAGCTCCGATCACCTAAAATGTGGTCTTTTAACATAGAAAGACGAATCAACAGAGGGAATGAGTTATTCCTTATCTGTTTGTTGATTTCTGAACGATTGAATTTTTGTATCTTTGATGGTTCCTCTTAACACAAACCAAAACAAAATTTCCCATTTTGATAATCTTGTTGTCAAATTTGTCGCAGGTGGATGGCAGCATTACTGATAGATTTCTACATACATATTGCTATCATAGGGGTATGAATGTTTACTTATTTCTTCAGAATATATGAACTCTTTCATTTTTTTTTAATCAGTTGGAAGGAATCATATGTGTTTGTGTGGTGGTAATCGTTAGGCTTGGGTTGTCTACAAGGAATCAAGCTGGATCATTGCCTCAGTTTGGGTGATTTTATTAATTTGTTTTGGAAGGTAATCTTCTTTTTTGTTTAATTAATATCAGCGTGACATGTTTATTATAAATTATAATATAATCAAACTTTCTTTTCCTTGTATAGTGTCACAACCTGTGGATACATCGTTCTACAGTTCTACAAGCTAACACCTGAAGAATCTTCAAAGGATCCTATTTACTTTGTGTTGGTGTCACACCAAAAAAGGTAAACTCTAAACCCTAAACCCTGAATCGACTCTCCAAATGTATCTAAACCCTAAATATTTGTCTTAGAGATGACATGGAACACAAAAAGGGACTTTCTGTTGTAATTGCAAGAGTAATATTTGGGGTATTAGGCTGCTTAATGCTTGGAACTTTGCTTTACACACTTATTGTTGATGGATCTCCATTTCGTGCTGAATTATACACTCCGTAAGTTTTGTTTTTTTTAATCTTTAACTACATTGGCATTTCATATTTTATAAAAATTTAAAATTAAGATTAATAAATGTGCGTAGGTGGATAGTGGCTACACTGATCGACTTTTACATCAATGTTGTTGCTTTATCGGTATGTCTCGTTTCATAATATACTTTAGTTGATTAATTTTGTTGCTTTAAGATAACTTATACTTTGTTTTATTAGTTTCTATTTGTTTTATTAATTGTTAATTTATTGTTCAGGTGTGGATAGCATATAAGGAATCAAGTTGGATAAGTGCTTTGTTGTGGATAGTTTTTCTTGTATGTTGTGGGAGGTAAGTATTGATCCAAATTAAGTCGCAACATATTTTCATGCTACACATTGTATAATAAACACAAATGAAAAGTAACATATTTTCTTATTTGTTGATGTTTTTTTATAGTATTACTACATGTGTATACATAGTGAGGCAGCTGTTATATCTCTCTCCTGATCAGCCTATTTCCCTTATACTTTTCAAGAACAATCACAGGCAAGTTTGACAAAAAAAAAAAATTAATTTTAATGGTCTTAAATATTAAAGTATGATACATGGGGGAATCACCTCTTTTCATTTATGTATTAATTTTAATGGTCTTAATTTTAATGAATTGATGTTATGTACTTTTGTATCATCAAATATATATTTTTATCCCATATAATTTAAGACCAAGTTGTGTGTTAAAATTTGTGCTTAAGAGTAATTTTGTGTTCATTTTAGGCCCATTAAACAGGTATAAAAGAATGAAAGGCCAAATCACATTACAAAGCGTTAGCTGATCAATAAAGTTGTAGGCTTCATTTGTGTTTTTTTACCACTTGATGGATCTTAAATCTTATTAAAACTCGAACAAATTTCTATATATTTAACATGAACCTTATATTTACAAAATGTTAATGTATGTAATATATGTGTACGTATTTAGCTTTGTGTATCACATTCAAGTCAATCTATTGGTTAATTATTATTTGCTATTACATTGAGGGTAGAATCTTGAATATGAAAGTTGTTTTTTGATACGTTGAATTTTGCAGAGATTTGAAGCCAATTGATCCACCATTGATAGTGGGTGTGAATGAATAGTGAATGCGTTGTATTCTTGTTGTATCATGTGGAATTGTGTATATTAAATTGTTATTAAAGGTAAATCATACAAGTGTATTAATGACATTATGTTTATTTCAAATCAATAATTGCAATATTATAAACAGGCGTCTTGTCTCTCAAATTCAGTTTATCCTATTTTTTGTTATTTTATATATTTACTCATTGTGGTTATGTTTGTAATGATTGATGAACCGCATTTAGTTATTTGTGATTGTGTTAGAATGTGTGCATTTATTGTTGACTTGAGTTGTTGATGTATTAAGGTAGCGTTTGGTATGCAGTAATCGAACAAAACATTAATCAAAGAGAGAAATGAATAGAGCATTAAGGCAGAATGAAAATGAAAAAAAAAAAAAAAAAAAACATGTTTGGTTCCTATAAAGAATGAGAGTGAAGCATTCCTTATGGATTTATGATTCCTTCTCCTAAACTGATTTTCATTTCATGGGAAGGGGTGGTCTTTTTCATTTTTTTTATCATAGATAATTTTTTTTAGCTATTTATGTAGCATATAAAATGTATTTTTGACCAAATAGAAATGCCCGTATATGCGACTTCGCTTATTAACGATATATATTTATTTAGTTAACGTTTAATATTATAAAATAACATTTTTTTTATTTATCAATTTTAATTTATTTAGATTTATTTATATTGATAAAAAAACATCATTTTTGAATGACCTGCTCCATCTTTTAAGTCGATCAAACATGATAATGTAATGTAATTATTCATTTCATTATCTTACTCATTCTATTATATTGTTCATTTCATTCATCGGTCATTTTATTTCATCATTCCAAACATACCTTAAGACTTAGTAATTGGGAGTGACCCCTTGTCGGGTCCCCGGGAATGTCTTAGGGAGATATATTTTTTGTGTTTGTCTTCTTTTTTGCATCTTTTATTATATGTTTATTGTTTGAATCCTAGTAACTAGTATCAAATCTTTTGCAGAAAACGGGAAGGTTAAGGATGACAAATTTGAAGACCCCAATTTTGGCTTTTGGAAGATGCGAGTCGAAGATTTTACCTTTACTGAAAGAAATTAGATTAACTCGTTTCCAAGCATAAACCTAAATCGATGATGTTGGATCATCACGTACTTGGGTTGGTTGAGTTTTCATTGGCAAAGAATGTTGCATACAATATCCTCAACGAGAAAAAAACGTTTAGACTAATCAAGGTGTTGTTTAATATGTATGAAAACTCGTCGGCTATAAAAGAATGTTTCTCCTAATTTAGCAGTTGGTGAATAGGAAGATGAAAAGGAAGGCATGTTGAAGGGAGTGAATTTAACTCAATCATATCCATGTTAGTTTTAGTTGACATTAAGTTCAATGATGAAGTTTGAGATATGTTGTTATTATCTTTGTTGTGAGTTGGTATGGTATGGTTACATCTAGGGATGTTAATTGGGTCAACCTGATCGGGTTTCGAGTTAAATGAGTTGGGCTAGTCGAGTTTTTTAATTCATCCGAAACTCAACCCTATTAAGGTACGGATTAGTCGGGTCCGGGTTAATCGTGTTTCAGGTTAGTCGGGTTAAAATGTAAGATGGATTAATGTTGTGCCATTTTAGTAAATAATACTCCGTATACTTCTTTATGGACTTAAATTGTAAAGTGGTAAATAATGTTCATAAATTGAACTTGAAGGCATTTTATGCCCATGTACATTACGTAGAAGGCAGGGGTGAGCACAAAAAAAAAAAAGAAAAAAAAGGACAAAACCGAACCCAAACTCAAAGTCGGTTTTGAGTTTGGAATTTTTAAAACTGAAAACTTTGGTTTAGATTTGGTTTATACTTACGAGCCGACCCAATATTTAAAACTAAACCAGAAAACCGATCCATGGAACGGAAACTACCCCAACATGTGTATCTTTTAAAACTTAAAATAAATATATTTTACGAGTAATTTAGATTTTCCGTTCAAACAATAACATTAATAATTGTTGTTTTATTTTTATATAACTTAGGTTAGGCCTTACGGCTTAGATTACAGTTAGAAGTGTGAAAAAAGTCTTCGTCTCCATCACAATTCTTCATCACTTCATCTCTTTCTCTCACCATCGACTCCACACATCACCTCACACGTCACCAGAGGTTGTTTCTCTCGGCATCCCTCTTTTCAGTGTGGAAATGAGTTACAACCCAAAGCCCATGGCTTAAAACCCGACAACCCATGGGTTGAAACCGAAAAACGAAAATATTGACCTCAAAAAACCGAAAATTGATTCCAATCCAAAACCGAGCCCAATGGATTCCAAAAGTTGGAATTCGAACTTTTCATTTTGGTTTTGGTTTTAGCCTAAAACCGATCCAAACCAACTCATGCTTAGCCCTAGAAGGTAAGATTAGATAATTTATTTTCCTTTCTTTTTTGTCAGGTCACGTACAATATAGATAGTAAGACTTGAAAAAAAAACTTAAAAAATTTGTGCCCGACAAGTGTAAAAGAAATCACGTCGGTTCAAATTTACATTTTGAGTCCTTGCACTAAACGGGTTATTCGGGTTAACCCAAACTCGAAAAAAGTAATGAACTCTACCCGATACTCGACTCTATATGTGTTTGAGATTTGTCAGGGTAACCAATATTACTGATTTTCATTTTAGACCCTATCAAACCCGAACTTATTTACCTTAGTTATTTGTTCATTCGGAACTAATAAGTGTTAGATTTTCCTATTGAGTACGGAGGGAAATGGTAGAAGACATGACGGCATAATGGTAGAGGAAGATCAAAATCAAGAAAAAAAAGGTCGGACAAAGAACAAGAATGTAACACCCGTTCCAGGAATACTTATTCTGAGACTTGGTCATTTTGGATCTTCTAAAGGTGGAATTTGGTGGTGCCCACGACGTGGTGGAGGAGGCACCACGATGGGGCAAGGCTATATGGAACACGTATTCTTTTAATGTACCACGACGTGGCAAATGAATGGCTACGACGTGGTGGTGGCCAATATGCAAAACCCTAATTATTCGAGTTTACAACCATATTTAAGGGATGATCATGCTAGGATTTGCTCACCCTCAGCCTCTATCACATCCTCTCGACGTAAAGCAAACCCCAACCTCCATTGTTGACATTTTGAAGAATTTGTGGTGCTTTGGTGACTTAGAAGAAGAAGAATGTGTTCTTTTTGCATAGATCCAACAAGCAAACCTCCTCACCACCTTCTTGCACACTTTCTGGAATTTTGTAAGTCCTTAAGTTTCTATCTTTTGTGTGGTTTTCTTCTAGATCTAGGCTTAGAAGCTTGTTCTTCATGTTCCTGATGTTTTGGGTGGATGGATTCCATAAAGTTGGCAACTTTATGGATCCTTGAGGTCCCTTTGTGGTTATACGTTCCAGATCTAGTGTCTTATGGCGTCCTTGGTCTCATGCATAAGTTTTGAGGTCCCTTTGTGGTTATATCTTCCAGAACAGACTATACTTTCCTTCATGTTCTAATCTCATCTTAAAAGGTAGCATTTCTAGCTACAAGCAACCGTCGCGATACCTCTATTGATCGCTTTGATTAATTCTTCCGGCTTAAGTCAGGTGCTACATCGAACTTGGTTCTCGGAACCACGTAACATACTCGTCGTAGTCGGAGTCGATTTGGTATGACCACTAGGGTCGGAATAACAATCATCTTCTTAATCTTTACCGAAACAATGGTAACGACATACTTGAATAAAACGAAATCAATTACTAGTTCCTTGGTAACCTTGTGACTTTCCCTGATCCAAGTGTGAGTCATGTGCTTCCGGTAGTATAAGCCTCTACTACCATTCACACCTACTCATACTCGTCCCAAGTATTGTCTCGCAGTTTTCCAAGTCATTATCACAAAAACAATTTTAACACATACAAATGTGTCCAAACAATCACAAAATTTCCCCTAAACTTTACTAGGACTTCTTCCACGCGTATCTTCAATCATTAATTCTGCTTTAACTCGGTTGGTGGTGGAAATTCCATACGATGGGACAACCCTGGGAATTACGTCAATCATTCCGCCAATCGAAGGTGTAGTTCGGACGTACCGTACTCCTCTAAACGTACTACCTGACATATTCTAAAGGCAAGATACCACTCATACGATATCTTCCGATAGGTGTCATTCACTATCATAAGCCTTTTTCATTTCCTCTATTTACTCAGTTCTCTACGAGTCTTCACCATGATGCTTTGTTCACGGAAGCATGCGTTTAGTGCATCGAGACGAGAATATAGATAGAGAAGGTTTTAGAACCAAATTTTTTCATTTTAAAATCATAATATTCCCGGAACACATTTCACAAAAATCTCATTTATTTAATTTATAAAACCTAACTCCATAATCGTTTAATTAAAATTCCAGGATCTTCGAAACATAACTCTATCTCTGTTGTGTACAACCAAGGTTCTAAATAACATAAGGCGTGACTTGGCGGCAATGTCAAGCCTCAAGCTTTTCCAGGCCTTGGCGAGCCACGTCATTTGTAAGGTATGACTTAAGGCGGCAATTTTGTATATAATTAATATTTTTATATGTATTTTCAACTATTATTCATTTTTATACACATATATGAGTTAAGGCGAGATTTTGGTAAAGCTTTGCGGCATGTACAAGCCTTGAAGCCATGGCGCGCCATGGCGGAGCCATGACGAGCTTTTTAGAACATTGTATACAATCAAGCCGGTGCCTTCCCGCGATCCTGAGAAAACCTGAAACACATATCACATAACACGGTAAGCACGAAGCTTAGTGAGTTCCCCAAAATACCACATAAACATATTAGCCACTCGAGGCTATAGCTCTGAAAGACCTTCCGGCCAATGTGTCTCAGTGGGACCTTCTGGCCCCACAAGTCTGGTAGACCTTCCGACCCTACCATGACTTGCCTTCCGGCCCCAAACTCTGATTGCCTTCCGGCCCTAACTCTGTTGACCTTCCGGTCAATGTGTCTCAGTGGGACCTTCTGGCCCCACAACTCTGGTAGACCTTCCGGCCCTATCATGACTTGCCTTCCGGCCCCAAACTCTGATCGCCTTCCGGCCCTAACTCTGTTGACCTTCCGGTCAATGTGTCTTAGTGGAACCTTCTGGCCCCACAACTCTGGTAGACCTTCCGG